TGTGTGTCTTGTTGTGAGGAGTGGTTGACTGGCAGGCTGAGAGTCAGGCTGTAATAGCTCCTCCTTAATTTGGTCTTAATGGCGCTCCAAGGCGGGAGCCTATCTAACAAGGTGTGTTTCTGGTACGCGTGTTTAGTGTTGGTCCCGCCAGCCGCCTGCGCCCTCCTCCATTTCCGGTCTTCCTGCAACATACCGACATTTGCTGCGGCTTGGAGGGTTGCCAACTGATAGGATACCTCGGACATCGCAGTCAGTCCAGTTGTGTCTTGTTGTGTGGAGTGGCTGACTGGCGGGCTGAGAGTCAGACTACAATGGCTCCTTCTTATTGTGGCATTTATGGCGCTCTCGCATACACCGGAGCCTATATAGCAAGGGTCACTGTTAGCACGCGTATTGGATTGTTAGCTGCGCCAGTCACCACCTTTCTCCCTCATCTCTGGTCATCTCGAGTCTTGTCTTAACATCGGGTACAGATGATGATGTGGTAAGGGAGTATGCCAGATCCGGTGAGTCTACTTTCACTATAATCCAGCCATAGTCACAGCGTCTGCCTTTAGCATGCTGAAGCTAACGGTGAACATCATCGAGAGCGATAGTCGAACTATCGGGCAGACAGGAGACAATGGTGCGTATTAGGCCTTCAAATCAGCCCCCGAGATAACCGCCTACACAGACAATGATGAACCATCGTCGATATCGACCGAGGATATATTGGGTAATAAAGAACAACGGATAGTAAACAGGATGACTGTCTATGATCTAGCCTTCGATCAAGCAATATGAACTACAAAGGTTAAGGAGTATGTGGGCCCTTGAACCGGCTTAACCAGTCGCAGTATTAGCCGGCCGAGAATTTCTTGACGCAATTCATGCAACAACTGCCACAAATAGTTAGATGGTATTTATAAACACGTCAAAGAACGATGGAAGAGACGAAGGCCACACAACACAGACTGACTGATGCCACACCAAACAATCAGGTCTCACCCGATATAACTATTGATTTTTTCCGCACATTTGAAATTTTAGCTGTTCATTGCACATTTCCTGTTAGTCCGAAGGCGAGCTGGGGCAGTAGGCTCAAAAATTCCCTAAGTAAATTTACCTTTATATCCCAAAGAAAATAATGTTCAAATAAATACAAGTGGATAAATTTTTAAAGCATCAAACCACGTCCTCCTAATTGGCTTTAAATCCTGCGCCCAAAAATGACGCTGAACACTGCCTTTTTTGACAAACAAACAAATGCTAACATTAACCAAGCCATACCAGGACGAATTATCAGTTTGATTGCTATTCAGGGCAGCTCGGAAGTCAGTCGGTCGCGTTGATGAAGAATTCTGGTCATTGGCGATGAAGGTATAGGTGGGAGTGGCATTTTCGTAGTTCCATTTGGCGGTCGTCTTCACAGCAGTCATACTTCCACCACCGGAAGCCATGATAACGCCATCAGGCTGCAGGGGCGTCTTTTCAGGTGGTTGGCTCTTGGCCTGACGCAGCAAATCACCCTCGATCCAGCACCAGGCCTGTCGGTCAGCCAGCCAGTTCTGCTGCCGGCCAATGATGGAGCCGGGTCGACAGATTCGAACCCAGGCAATGGCCTCAGCCGCCGAAAAGCGAAAGTGTTTCATCATGTAACAGGCGATCAAGGTGCCCGTCCGACCGAGACCAGCTGAAGAGTGTCACAAGCCAGGCAACCGTAAGGATCAGACAGAGGAAAGGAGAATAAGAAGGCGAAAACTCTAAGATTTGCTACATCGGTTTTCATGGTCTTAGAATCATCCAAACATGCCAACTCATCGCCGAGAATAATGAACGTCCACGACAAAAGGCAGATATTATAAATTTTTTGGAAAAGAATAATTTTTAGTGTGAATTTTAGAGTTTGGTTCTATTGGGAATGCAGCTACTCCCACGATGAGTCACACATGCAAATGCCTCTCGTGAACGCGTCGCTGCGGCAAGTTTTGTGTGCTCATTTTTGATTGGACCATTGTCTCGACTATGTCTCTCGCGTTCCCCCATAAATGCACTCAGCCTTTGAGTGTGAATGACTTTCTGTAAAGCGCTTTGTCTGAGTG